TCATTTATTCATTTATGCATTATTTATTAATATTTTTATGTATAGTTATTTATATATTTATATATTATTCAATTGTCCATTGATTATTTGTATAATTTTTTATCTTGTTCATTAATATATTCATCAAATTATTTTTCTGTCTACTTCTTTATTTATTTATTATTTATTTATTATTTATTTAATGTTAATTATTTATTCATATATTTGTTCTAATGAGTTATTTATTTTATTCAAACTATTATTTATATGTAACTTATAGAACTTATTTTGTTTTATTTATGTTTATATCAAATTATTTATATTTATCTAGTTTTTATATATTTATTTATACATTTATTTATTGTTTTATTTGTAGATTTTTTATTTTGTTCATTTATATATTAACATATTTACTTATTTATTTATTTCTTCATTCATTTTTTCAGTTAATTATATATTTATTCACTGATATATTTAATAAATTATTTTTGTACTAATGACTTTTCTGTAACCTTTTTTATTTTGTTTATTTATATATGCATAAATATATTTATTTGTTTAGTCCTTTATTTATTTAATTATTTATTCACTTAATTTTGTTATTTATTCATGCACTTGTTCTAATAATTTATTTGTAAATTATTTTATTTTGTTCATCAATATATCAAATTATTTTTTTTATTTATCTAATTTATATATTTATTAATTCATTTATTTATGAATTTGTTTATTGATTTATTTATAACTACTTAAAATGTAATTATATAACATTTTAAGTTCCATTGTTTAATTATAATAGTAATTTATGAGTGAATACTTAAATATTTATATAATTTTGTATATTATAATATTAAAATATAAAACTAGATATTTATCCATTCATTTATGTATTTTATTCATTTGTTTAAAAATCTATTTATATACTTTTTGCATATTTCTTTATTCTATTCATTTATATATACATTACATTATTTATTTCATCATATATTATTATATTATATATATTATATATATTATATATATAAAGAAATAATAAATATATATTGTGCAAACAAATTTTCAAATAAATGAATAAATAAATAAATAAATACATATTAAATTTGTGCTTATACTTTTTATAATAAAATTAAATTTATTTCCGACTATTATTAACAATTAACAATTATTAACATTATTTTCTATACTGAACATATAATTCAAAATTGTCATGTAATTCGAAAATAGTAAGAAGATTAGGATATCTAATTTTTACGAAATTTCTACGAAAAAACATTATTTAACCATAAATTTATTCTATATTTTAACTATGATTTTATCTCTCAGAAGCATCTAAAACAAAGGAAGCAAATAATGAGAAGGACGTGAGTGTACTAATTTTTAATTCTTATTCTATATTATCCTGTTTTGCAAAGATATCGTTAGCAGTCGATAGATGACATTAGTTCTCAATTCCTATTATATCTTTTTTTATTATTTTCTGTCTTTTCTTTGTATGTTTCATTTATGGCATTCTGAAGATGGCGTTGATTTCAATATTTTTGCTCTATCTTTATCCTTCTCTCATAAATTACTATCCTTGTCCATATTACTTTATATTACTCTTGGTGCATGACCACCATATAAGCTATATAAGATATCAATCGAACACATTTTCATTATTTCTTTTCCAAAATTAAAATATGTTTAACTTTTAATATATATAGATATTACATTCTTGGCTTTATAATGTATCTTGACATATAATACGAGATATTATTCGATGACAGAATAACGCAGCTATATTGCATTTAAAATTCCATCTTATTCCATCCAGAATAAGAAGGAATTTGAAGTATTTTATCGTAAAACGATGTTATCGAAGATTTATTTGTCAAATCTATTTTTTTATTATTTATATTCTTGTAGAACTTTCCTAAAACTTACAGTTAATCATTCAAATACAAATTGTTATCGAATATACGACAAAAGAAAAATTATACAAGATATTAATTTATAAAATATATTTATTTATAATGTGTCTCAAAATTTATAATATATCTACAAAATATATTTGAACTCTAGAATGTATATCTCATTGTACTTAATTTTTTAATTTGTAATTACTTTTATATACAAGTGATATTTAAATATTTGGAAAGATTATTTTCAAAAAATATTATATCCAAAAATATGAAAAAATATAATTTTATTCTTGGAAATATAATACAATATGTTAATTTTCATAATATAATATTTTTTCTAATTTTTAAAATATTTTATTATAAATGAATTAAATATTAATTAATAATTAACAATTGAAAAATAAAAGTTTATTTCTAATCTTTGCTTAATAAAAATATTTTTCAGTAGTTGTAAAAAAAAATATTACAATACATATGATATAATAGTGTGACACAATATTAATATGGATCAATCATTCTAATTATTTGTTATTTGTTATTTGTATATGTAAATCATGTATAAAATGCATGTACAATATTTAAAATATTAATATATACCTAAAAATGATATATTAAAATAAAATATTTATTTTTTTTTATTATTATAATTTTATATTGAAATTCAATTTTAATTTCATTCATTATTAACGTTACAATCTTATCTTAAACCGAATCGATAACGTTAAGAATATTCCGAAACATAGGATAGGAAACGCATTGCATTAGATTTCGTAACTTTATGGTGAAAATTTAAATTTGATAGGAAGATTATGCAAATCATACATTTTATGAACATATCATAAATCATTCAATGGACGAGATCATATAAATCCTAATTTTTTTCCTGAATAACTTAAATTTACGTAATTTCCTATGATCATTTTTAATTTAAAAAAAAATAGCAGTATATATTTAATAAATATTTATATTTATATTAAATATTTAATATTTAAATATATTATACTAATATATAATTTTATATTTATATTTATTTTTACGATAATAAAAATATTTATATAAAAATTTTGAATAATTTTGGAAATATAATATTATAATATTCTTTATAAGTTCTTGTCTTACAATAGAAAATCTATCTTCATCCATATTTTGCATATATCTTCATTTTACAGTAGTCTGAAACCTGTTTAGCTTTAAAAGATATATATGAAAAAAAAAAATTGTTCCCTTTATCATTTTTATCTTTTTATGGTCTCAGTTGCAGTTCCAACTCTCCCAATCTCTTCAGATACAGTTAAATATAAATATCTCAAGTTTCATTCCTTTTTACTTATAAATAAAACTTTTTTATCAAAAAAAGGAAAAGGAATCAGTAAAAAAAGGAAAATATTTTGAAAAAAAATAATAAAATAAAATTTATTCTCTCAAAAAAAGATAAAAATAAATTTTCTCAGGTTTTTCCCAACTCCTCTAATTCTCACTAACTTTAAACGTACAATTGATATGCAAATGAAATTACGAATAGATAAAATTTTTCCTGTAAATCAATGGCACACATTCACATATGATTCCTTGAAACTAACTGCTCTTGCATCGTCATTCCTACTCTACAGAATACCAATAAAGAAATATATAGTGGCCGTGAAATATTTTTAAATATTTAAAATAGTCATTTATATAAATGACTTTTTGTTCGCGCAATGTGAAAACAAAAAAAAAAAAAATACAATTAATGTATTGTAATAAATTATATTGCTTATTGTTTACTCATGGATGATTATATCGATAATGATTATATCATTAATACTTGTAACATAAATTAACATGAATTAACGATTCCCTTGAATAAAACATTTAATATATTTAAATATTTCGCACAATTCGAAGAAAAAAATATATTTTTTATAAATAAGCATATTAAATCTTATTTACAAAATAATTATAAAAAAAGAAGCTAAAGCAAAAAATTTGAACATAAATTGAATTGACAAAAAATAGTCGTACAAAATGATACGATATTGATAAAAAATTAAGATTATTTTATAAACATATTTTATCAAATATAAATATAAATTTTTTTTTTAATGCATCTTTCTTTATCTAGATAAAACTTCCACTTTTCACTATTCTAGATTTTTCTAGTTTTCTTCCAGTTTTTTTAAAATAAAAAAAAATATATCTGTAATCATTTTCTATATTATTACCGATACAAAGTTTTTCAATTTTTGTTTCTCATAAGTTTTTGAACGTTTCCTAAAATTGTATATAATATTGTGACTCTTATATAATAAATTTATAATTTTCATGGTAAAATCTTTTGATCATCGTTAAAATCTTCGATCCATTTCTTATTATTTCGTAAGTTTAATATTGTAAATAAATGAAAAATTTACACTTTTTTACACAATCATTGCTGAGTAACTATTGATAAGAAAGAAAAGAATAGAAAATATGTCAAGTACTTATTTTTATCGATCGAAGTCAGCTTATGTTCAGTTTTTTTTTTTTTTTTTTCAGTAAATTCTTCTTTTCAATAAATTCTTCTTTCTTTTCCAATCGTATAAATTTAACATTAAGTATAATTAATTTTAATGACACATCAAATATGTACTATTGTATTATATTCAAATATATTCAAATATTATTTTGTCCAGAATAATCGGTCTTTCGTAAACGATATTTCCGTCTCATCGTTCTATTCGCCATCGAAAATGGTTTTTCCACAATGACTCCCGATTGTGTTCCAACGAATTCAAAATCCACTTATCTATATGCAAACACGCGAAGAAAATGCCTCGTATCGTTCGTAAGCATAAAAATCCTCATCTCGTGTAAATAATTCCATTTATTCTACAATTCCTTTAAAATACCTTTCGCAAAAGAAACATTATGAATTTTAAATAAAACGATGAAAAATTTGAAAAATATCTTCGAAAAATTTTATTTTAACTCGGTATTTTTATCTCGACATAGTTAAACGCAATTAAGATAAATTATCCGATATTTCTAATTACAATCGCGCAAAATATTTACAATTCTCGTTTTTTTTTTTTTTTTTTTTTTTTTTTTTTTTTACCTTTAAAAAAAAAATATTAATTATGACAAGGTGAAAACGATTAAATGCAAAAATAACCGCGAATATTAATAGAGAAACTTTCTCGATCAAACACGACTTCTCACTCGACCAGACAGAAAAGCGGAACGTAACTACGGGAATATCAAAATTGACCAGAGAGAGATTTCCCTTCGCAAGCAACGTAATTAATTACACGATTGCCCCTCGGTGGCGTCTCGATACCTGGTCTCGATACGCTCCCCACGATTACCTTATCTCCATTTTAAAAGCAAGAAAACAAGCGTCATTGGCCGCGGTCGCATCTTTCAACGGAAACCCGCGAGAGAGGAGAGGTATATACATAAGACGTATTACAGGTATACGGGAACGGTCAGGTAGAACTCACGTACGTTAAGGTCGTGTAGCCGGTTATTATGTAGCCGATATGGTTCCGAGGCAATTAATACTATTGTTATGATTCAGACGAATACGTCATATGTGTCTGAACGACGATGCAACGGCGCGTTTTCGTTGGTCAGTATTCGACTATAATAACTTCCAGCTACTCTGATCCGGACCAGCTTAGATCGTTCCACATGCTTAGAAACCGCTTTCTAAATTAATGCATTGGGAAAAATGCGTGTTCGCTCGCCACCTGGAACGGATGTAATTAATTGTTCAGTGTCACGACGATATATACAATACGGTATGGAAATATCGAAATATAGTGGCTATAGTTTGATTCGTGGAAAGGAATTTTGATTCGGGAAAAGTGGCTCGAGATATGGTGCAAAAGAACTGAAACGCATGATAACACATCGGTGATCGTATACATATGCTCTCTGCAGTGATTCAACCAAGGAAACGTCGATGATAACGTCGGATGTTCGTGAAAATTTTGCGGTAAAATTTTCTTTGACTCTTTGAGGTGATATCGAAACGACAGATGTTGCTGACGATGAGATTTCGACAATACGGAAATAATAAATAAGCAATTATGTCGAATAATAATCTCGGCGAAGGGAAATCTTTTAACAGTACGCTGATCCAAGATGTAAAGGTTACGAACGAGAAGTACGACAAGAACAATGCAGTCGCCCCGCACAAAAGCAACGAGGAAATGGTCAAAAAGTCGAGCAAAGCGACTCAGATCGATCTTATCCAATTTTCTTACGGTACGCAGAGAATCAGGCCACCTTCTTTGGGTTATTTGCCGAAACAGATGCACACCAGCGAATCCAATTATCCAAGCTATAACTCGAAGAGTTCGTCGTTGTGCCCGTCTCAGAGCGAGTTAGTTCTATCGCCAAGAAACAAGAACAATCGTTATGTAGCTTTAGATATGAGATCGATGAGCAGTCTTCCATTTTCAAATAGCCATACCTCGATAAATAACATGCCGTACACATGTTGTTGTACGTGCACGGGATCACCAGGATCACCAACACCCTCCTCCAGACAAATGGAGGAACAAGATGGTCCTGAAGGTCTTTCGTGGAGGAGATTACACATGAGCAGAGCTAAATTAAAAGCTACTGCAACAACATCGGAATTATTAAGCGGTTTCGCTATGGTGAGTATATCTCCATTCTTTTTTTTTTTTTTTTTTTAAATAAAAGGATGATGATACATTATTTCCTTGTAATTCTTTGAACGATAATTTATGACAACAATGATCGATTATCAGATTAATCATTCATTCGCGATCGTTAATTATCCAATGCCTTGATACTTGGAACAATCGATGTAACGAGGACGTGTGTACAACGAATGTATTTTTTCGAATCGAGTTAATTTCAATAGAGAAAAATTCCGTCGTAATAATAAATTTGTCGAAATATTTGTCATTGAACGATATTAAATCGTTCCTGTTTTTTCCTCTTGGACAAGTTAATTTCCCAAGAAAATCGGTATTCGTATAATCAGAAAAATCCACGACGGATTACACAACGTTTCCTGAAAATCATTAAACAAACGTGGACGACAATTCCGTATAATCTTCGTAAACTTCGTTCTATGATTACGTAAGGCAAATTTCAATATCACTTTCTTTAACAATATACCTCGTTTCGATGCAGGCTTAATTGATTTTTAAAATATATGTAAGGCAAAAGTACGAAGATAACAATATCTTCAAGGAGAACTTATATCTGTTGTGATAGCATTAATTTGTCAAACATACTTGTCTTTATTAACAGGTATTAAAAATTATACGAGCCAACTTTTATTATTTTCTTTTTTTCCTTTTATCTTTTCAGATAGCTATGGTTGAACTGCAAATAAATGAGCCAACCGCGGTGCCCGAATGGCTGTTTGTGATGTTCGCTGTTTGCACAACCGTCCTAGTATCAGTACACATCTTTGCTTTAATGATAAGCACGTATTTATTGCCGAATATCGAGGCCGTCAGTAAACTTCACGTGTCTCGCCTCGTTTCGGAATCACCTCATGAAAGAATGCGCGGCTTCATCGAGCTGGCTTGGGCATTTTCCACGGTATTAGGATTATTTTTGTTCCTAGTGGAGGTAGCTATACTGTGCTGGGTGAAATTCTGGGATTATTCGTTTACCGCCGCCACTGCCAGTACTATCATAGTCATTCCAGTCCTTATAGTGTTCATCGCGTTCGCCGTTCACTTCTATCATTCCTTAGTGGTATATAAATGCGAATCAACGGTGACCGATATGAACGAGTTGGAAAATATCAAGAGAAATTTAGATAATGTAGCGATGGGGCAGAGCAGCGTATGATAAAATTAAAGATTTCGATTTTCAAATCAATTTCCAAGTCGATTGGATTGTGTCCTTGTCTTCTAAAATACATCCCAGAGACTGCGTATTATTTATCCGTTGTTTTACTGGAAATTATTGTAATCATACTCAATAACGTATACGCTATACACTACACACGTTAATAACGATGAAAGAAGAACACATGTAAGTTTATTCAATAACTTTACTTATTCAATACGATCACGCGAAAGCGACCGTATTTTTATTATATATAAAAATGTACATAGCTGTACACATGCAAGTCGAGAATTGCAACAGTACAAGCAAAGTGCTCTTATAAGTATATCAGCTATATTATTTAGCATTTAATTATATCCTATTTATGACTTAATTCCCAATTTCTTCTTTAAATGTATCTCTCATTTACCTTTTTATTTCATACATCATATCAATATATATATATATATCATTTTGTCACTTAGTTTGTGGAAAAACTGAAGGACAGTCGAGTGTGTTATTTATGTACATGCTTCCCATTCTGAAACTTATTATATCCTAGTCACAATAAGTTACTCATCAGACTTGAAGATTCTCGTTGATTAAAACGTGATTTGTTACATGAATTTATAAAAAAGAAGAAATGTAATTTTATGCATCTTTCACTTTCACCATAAACTAAGTTGTTAGTTTAATCTTATATCCGATATTTTCTACATTATTATGCATTAAATTTTGTTTGTACAAAAACAAACAATTTGTATTAAACATAGAAATGTAATTAAAGCAAGAACATAATATAATCATTTTCCTATATAAAAAATAATTCAGGGATTTCACTCTAATAATGAAAGCATTGAAACACATTTTATTATTGCATAATATCTCTGATGAAATATTTTTCGTTTTTACTAAAAACGAAACTAAAATATTTAATTAAATTTTAACTTACAAAAATCAATTGTATAGTTGGCAATAATTGTAATAAATCGAATTAAAATTAATAATATAAAATTAATGTATTGAGTTAATATGTATATATACATATACATATATCTAATATGTACATTAAAAAAAAAATTTCAAAATGTATATAAAAAATTATGAAATATTAATGCTGCATAATTTAAAAGGAAGAACAAAAATTTTTAAAGTAAAGAGAAAAATGAATCATAAAATGAGTTTTAAGCTTTCTAAACTTTAATAAAACGCAAAATTATTAATTTATTAAATTTATCTTCTTGAACAATGATCTCAAGTCTTTTTTTTTTTTTTT